CTTACTTTCCATCTTGCTTGTAACTTCCTGTCGCAGTGCAGAGCCCTGTTAGTGGCTGATGGCCTTGCAACACCTCTGAACCAGCAGGTAACTGCCATTGTATGTTAATAAAATAAAAGTAATACATTTAACTAACTAGTATTTAAACTGGTGTTTCACAGTGACAGGAGAAGTTCACAATCAAACTATTTAAATTACCCTTAAAGTTATAGTCGAACAATATACTAGCAGTTTGTAAGTTGTAGTCAATATAAATTTTGTGCATGTCCATCAAAAAGATTTCTTCTCTTCCTGTAGAACTTAAAAGCATGAATTGAAATGTAAAAATAAAGTTTTTGTCAGTTTTTGTTCTGCTAGGTATGTAAACCTGCACCAGACCTTTTCTAAAGGATTTCATAAACCCCAAAAAACTCTATAGGTTATATTCTGTTGTTTTTCCCCATCTTGACATCTATATATCTGATCCACATCCTTTTTATTTGTCCTGTTGCTAGAGTCCTGAATAAGTGCAGTGGCTCTGCTGGAAAATATCTGGTCCTTACCTTGATATCATCAGGCCAGCCGTCCTCCTCCCTCTTCTCTTTGACTCTGCATTGGATCAGCTCCAGTGTTTCCTCCCTTGTAGGCCGCGGGCCTTTGAGCTCCCCTGCTGCGTCGTGAGCACTGTGATCCAGTGTGGATCCAAAGCTCTTGGGCAAGGTGTTGCTGCGGGGCCGAGTCTGAGGGCCGAGCTCGGTCTCTGCTCGGTGTTTGGCATCTGGGGAAGGATGAACACATGAGGTTGAGGAGAGAGGAAAGAAATAAGGGCAGGGATAGAGAGAGAGGGAGAAACATGGAAAACAGAGAAAGTCAGTTAAGGCATGCAGGAATTTATCCATCACGATTACAATTAACGCATCAGAAATAAGGAGAAAGAAGACAGTGTGACAACACAAACACACCACCACACAACACACAAAGCCAAAGACAGAGAGCAAACTTTTTCCAGACTATTTTTTGTAACACTGCCAGACAGTAAAATCGCTAAATTCAAAAAACCCTGATGGCTGTAAAGGTGAAACACTTCTGCACCTTCAGCACCGTAGCATTCTTGTTACCAGCAGTTAGACATGTTTTTTTTGCAGTTCGCCAACATTTTTTAACATGTCAGAGACCCAAAATGTCTGGCAAAAAAGAGAGCTTGTTTTGTATTTTGAAATCAGAACCATAAATATGTAATTTCATCACGATGCTTCACACTTCTCACCCTCTCTCCATTAATTATCCCATGCCAACAAGCTGTTTCAGCAGACACCGAAACAAGGAAGCAAGATGCTCTCACAAAGCCGCCTCGCTGTGACTGTCAGTAGTGTTTGAGATGTCTACTTACTGAGGGGTTTGTACTTACTGAGGTGAAACGGTCTAGAGCTGAGTAGGCCTGAGTAGGGGTGGAGCGGGGGGGTGAGTATGTGATGGGGAGGTGAGCAGATAGAGGAGGAGGAGGAGGAGGAAGGGGAGGAGGGAGCATGGTGGCATCTGTGTGAATGGATCAAAGCCTGGTGCCTCAACGTGCTTCTGGGCAAAAGGTGGTGCTGGCGTCCTGGTTGGCCGATCAGTCAATCAATCAATCAATGGGTCGTTGGGCAGTAGGAGGAAGGAGGAAAGTGAAGAGCGGATTCTCACATTATTGATTTCAGTTTTGATTTGAAACAGTGACAAATGTTTTGGCCGCTGCGTTACTCCATGAAGGAGAGCCGGCACCTCGCAGGAAGGAGGTGGACGGGCGTCCTGCAGGGTTCGTTCAGTGTGGTGAAACAACGGGAGGAGAAACATGAATTTCTATACATTTTATATTTTAATATCTGATGTTGGACATGCTGACTGGCAGCCAAACCAAAAGCTTCTGCAACCACAGTTTGGGATTTCTGACCAAATATTTTCAAATACTTCCTTTATGTGTTTTCCGCTGCTTCACCTGACCGAACTCACCCTGCAGGTAATGAATGTGGGTTCACAAGGACGCACCAGCACACTGTAGGGTGGGAGCCACGCATGTGAGAGCCACGTTGACCCTGAGCACGTGCATGTCTGCGTATGTCGGTCAGACCAGCATACATGCCATGTTGTCACAAAAGATCAAAGGTTGGAAGCGGGGTCAAAATGTCCAGCACAGAACAGGATGGCATACAGACACTCCAACCCCGTCAAGCACACGTGAATGCATGCCGACAGCAAAAAGTAGTTGTACCTTTAATCTGCCTGCGGATCTTGGTCAAGTCAGTCATCCATTTGAGGACCTTGGGGTTAGCTGCCTTGTCTGCATGAGAAGGCTGCAGAGAGAAGAGTTGGCATTTCACAGAAAACATCAACAACAGCTAAGACAAAAATACTAAATGACATTTTCAGAATGTGTGACAGTGGAAGCAATGAAACAATGTGTTGTTGTTTCTGATGCAGAGAAAGGGAGAAGGCAGAGGAAGATGACTGTTTGCTATAACAGCCTGAAGAAAGCAATGATTGACTGGTTCCTGCAGTTTTTTTCTTCTTCTTTTTTTAAATTACTACCTAAAAAACCATTAAAGTTCTGATTTTACCTTGTAGTTTCTCTCCTTCTCAAACTGCTCTTCAAACTGTTTGATTTTCTTCTTCAGATGCTGAAGCTTTTTGGTGAGCTGGTGCATCACCGAATCTCCTCCTCTCATCGCCTCTTTGGAACCAAACGATGCTCGCCTGGGCCTGAGGATAAATAGTAAGCGGACTGGTACTTGATGGCGCTTTTTGACTCCAGCTCAGCCCTTAAAGGGCTTTTTACTACAAGCCACTTTCACACACACTCTAGCCCAGGGGTGGGCAATCTCAGTCCACGAGGGCCGGTGTCCCTGCAGGTTTTAGATGTGTCCTCGAACCAACACAGCTGATTTAAATGGCTAAATTAGCTCCTCAACATGTCCTGAAGTTCTCCAGAGGCCTGGTAACGAACTAACCATGTGATTCAGGTGTGTTGACCCAAGGTGAGATCTAAAACCTGCAGGGACACCGGCCCTCGTGGACTGAGATAGCCCACTCCTGCTCTAGCCCCTGAGCCACAGCGACCCCCCCAGCATGACAGAACTACCAAAAAACCCAAAAAAACAACAACAAAAAAACGCTAAAAAAGAAAAACAACCCAAAAAAACCCCTTCGGGTTCTCAAACCAAAGATCACGATTTGTGGGTGTCATTATAACCATTAAACCCTCCCAAAAAACCCCAGTCTTACAGTGAATAAGCTGCACATCATACCTATGTACTTTGGTGGGTGAAGTGGCGTCCAGATCCTGCTGGAGGAATCTCTGGGCACCGTGCACACCAAAATCAAGAAAGCGCCGTGCCAGCAGGTGAGGGTGGGAGCGGGAAGAGGAAGGGGAGTCATCCTGCCCTCCCTCTCCCTGTTCCTCTTCACCACCCTCCTCCAGGGGGAGCGGAGGGAGAGGAACCATGCGACCGGCCAGCGGGGAGAGCTGTGCCTCTCCGCTCTCGTTGTCATCCTGCCAGGATTTAAAAGCTGGGACGGGGTCTGGAGAAGACGGAAAGAAATAAAGAGAGGAATCAAGCCAAGTAGAAAGAGGACAAGAAGGAAGGGAGAGGCCAGACGATCAATCCCTCTCTAGCAAGTGCATGAGAGAGAGAGGTGTTATACATATCATGATGGACAGATATGTACAGCAACATTTTATTTTTTTACTTCCACACCTCCTGACTCAATCTAAGCCTGATTACCGGTGTATTTACTGTCAGTGCTATGCTGCCAAGTTGAATCGAGGAGGAAGAGAGAGTGTAGGAGGGGTCGTGACCAATAAGAGCAGCAGAATCAAAGTGTAAATTAAAAAAATAAGAGGGAAGAGTGAAGAAAGAAAAAACAAGTTCGCCTGCTATCTCATGAAATCTGATGGAGGGAAGAATGTTACAGGGAGGGATTTATCACGATCAGCGTCACCACGCGCGCATTTGAAAAGCCGAGGCTATTTTAATTATATTTTAATATAGTTTCTTTTATTGTCGTCACCCGTGACCACCATTAAAAACAATAACAAGGTGACAACAAACAATAACGGGTGAAAGGAGGGAGGGGCAGACTGGCGAATGGGCGCTTATGAAATGACTTACCTTGGCCTTCCTTTTGCAGATGCATCAATGAGAAGTCGATGGGAGGGAGGTGGAGATGGGAGGGGGGTGACGCTGTTTGGATGGACGGAGGAGAAGTAGAAGGACGAGGAGGAAGAGGGACAGGGAGAGAGATAGCACAGAAGAGGAGCAGTGAGGTCATTCGTAACTTCACTCGCCAGCATTCATCCAACGTGTGTTGTGTTTACTTGCACACAAATGTCACCAACGTCAGTTTTTCATCACTTATATGAGAGAATTTATCAAACTGAGCAGGTTTGAATTCAGATCTCAGCGACATATTTAAGCTTAGAGTAAAAATATTCCATCTTTATATTTAAGTAAGAGTAATTCATACAACAATCTAAATGAAATTAAGTTTTCCCATTATGTCACTTTTATTAGATAAAATAAATTAAGTTTTAAAAGTCTGTCCCTCTGCATAACTTCTCCAATGCCACTTTAATTTTGTGAATATTTATGCTGCACTGAGCAAGCTGGAATTCCCAGGATATGATGAAACTCACCTTCCCATTGGTTGTTGGGAAAAAGCTGGAGGTGGGAGGAGTCTGGTTGGCATGGTGACAGGTGATTCCTGTTGGGCTCGCTGGTGTTGGCGTTGTGATCACAGCAACATGAACTGGAGTCCTGGAGGAGAAAAAAAAAAAAAATCAATAAGAGATAAAATAAATAAGGAAAATAACTGAAGGTAAATTGGCAAGTGTTTGAAGGAATATTGGCCTGACGTGTTTTTCAGAACAGCACCTTTGTAACCAATTTCACCTAGCAACAATACTTGTATCAATATTGAACCGTTCGATACAGTGCTTT